CCTGAAGGCGTTCTCTATCATCAGGTGTTACATCTTGAGCCCATGTCATTTGAAAGATAGTGAGTAAGAGCAAAGTGATCAATGGTGATATTATGATGATCTGGAAAATATAGTCAAACTCAGTGACGTAGGTCTTGTAGATAAATGCAAACATCCAGATCTCATAGGAATGGAGGCTGAGTAGAGCAATGTTCTGACGAAAATCATGAAAAGCTGCAAATATAATCCTGAAAAACCCAGTAATATTCGTAATCTCACGAATAAGAGAGCAAGACAGATAAGTCACACTGAACCAAACGCACAGGCAGCAAACTTGGGATGGTGTAACAGGAGAAACCTCCGGCAAAACAAGTGTCGGTATACTGAAAGTGATATCAAAACCAGGCTCTATGGTGACTATCATTCTCACAATAACCGAAACAAAGAGAACCGAGAGAGCCAGTGTCGCTAGAATGACTTTACAGATAGGATTACAGCACCACATCTTCAACAAACTCGAGAACAAGCTTTACTGTCATAACTAATTATTGTAAACACAGATCTGGATCTACCCACGCAATTCCTTCCGAGCCGCAAATCATACATGATAGTCTACAACAATCAACTGCATAAACTATAAACAGAGTGTGCTCCAATAATATAAATGTATAAGTTTAAGTTTAAGTATAAGTTTATTAAATTTATTTGTTACTGAACTGCTGCTTTAGAATTTATTTTTTTATACAAATGTTTGTAACTACCTAAGACTAAACTACAACTACACACAGCAAACTAAAAATGGGAGAGTTTCATGAACAGCACATATAACAAGTCAGCACAAAAAATGTTTCAAATGCATGCATGGTGATTCACCATTTAAAAGTATCTTCCAATCACTATGGCATCAAAGATAGTAAGTCCAACCATCATTATTGCAGCCTGGTATGTAAACTCATAGTCTTTTTTTTCTGTTGGATTGTCTGCTGGTGCCACTGGTGCTGGCATGCGTGCCACAACAGGTTGACCATCTCTACCATCATGTACTGCTTCCTCTGAACGTGGCATTGGAGGATTACGATGCATATAAATGAGACTGTAGTTTTTGTAGATAAAATGTAGGCGGTATAATATCTCAGCTACTCCTAGCAAAAAGATGTGCATATCTGTCAAGTCACCATCACCCAAAACTTCATCCTTTGAACGTATGTAATTAGTAAAGCCCATACAGACTACATGAAAAGCCATTATAGCACTGTAGAGGAGGCTTGTTATAGCATAGTACTGAAGTTCCTGAAGTCGTTCTTCATCGTCAGGTGCTACATCTTGAGCCCATGTCATTTGAAAGATAGTGAGAAAGAGCAAAGTGATCAATGGTAATATTATGATGATCTGAAAAATGTAGTCAAACTCAGTGAC